AAGACATAGGCATATGCTTGAATTTGTACAAAACATTTCTGGGAGGAAATATAAGAAATTGGTAACTCTTGTTTCTGGCAGGGAGACTAAGTTGGGGGCTTTAGAAAATTTTCGTTTTCATTGTACACCCTTTTTTAATGCATGACTTTTTAAATCACAAACTGAATTGCCATAACAATGATAATAATGGCTAGTTAACAAACAGGAATGCATTGAGGAGTTTTCCCCAGATCTTAGCTACATAATTGGCTTCCAAAGCAGAGCCGGTATGTAAATGGAAGTCATCACCAACCAATATCTTATTTTCTTAAAGGTATTAATGAAATCTGGAGATTTAGTTAGCACTCCAGTTGGAAGCAGCTGAGGTTCAAGAAGAACTTGGCTCCTTAAAGAGCTCTTCTCTCTGTCAATAGAGCCCAGAGCTCGGGGACCAAGCTCGGGACCCACTTCTTTCTCCCATCAGCTCCCAGAGCTGGTAGGAGACTTTTAAACAGACTGCAGAGCTGTTAAAAATAGAAGTTAAGTTGCTATTGGAGATACGTGGAGAATTCACCACTTGCAAATCTCTAATTATAATATGTCAAGAGTAAAATACCTTGTCAGGGACAGTATCTAATATAATACAGTATTGGCTCTGTCAGCACAGTGATCCACGATGTGTTTGAAGGCCTACATTAAATAGACATTCAGCAGAAAAATGTCCTGCAGGGACTCATCTCAGCCCTTGGGGAACCGAAAGGATGACCTAGTAAGTCTTTTCTGTCTGTACTTTCCTGAGCCCTGGTTGGGAGCTCTGGGTGCGTCCTGCTTCTCTTTTACAGATTTTGCACTTTGTGTTAAATCATGTGCATATATTAGATGTTCTTGGAGCCTACCAGATGGATGGATCTTTTCTCTTACCCAAAACTACTCAGTTTCTCAAACAAATGATGGCCTCTACAGTGCCCTCAGACTGGCATTAAGCACTGTGCATATACGTCAAAGGACAGTTACAGCTATTCCTGGTACAACACTACCCTATGGGGAATAACTAGACGCTAATACAGGGCCATGTCTTCTAGGGTTGGGAAAACCATGAGTCTGACTCATTTTGAGGTTAAATTCCTTCCTTGGAAAATGCAGAACCTGCAGTGAAGAGAAGGTGTGCTTGGTAAATGTGTAAGGATGCAGGAACAATTTGAAACAAACTTGTCATAGACCATGTTCTGCTCAATCAGGTCAGGAAAGTGCGACTCAAAAGTAGGTCATGGACAGCAGAAGCATCTTTCTTTATGGCCACAGAGAGAAAAGCATATACATATAATAGTTTGTAGCAGAAACCAAGATGGCCCCTTTGACGATTCCTGCACTTGCCCTATAGCAGTTAAGAGTATACCTTCTAGGACTTACTTCAGAATCAGTCTCCAAGCCCATCTGCTTCAGTGTATAATGGTTCACCTTCCTTCAAAGCTTCCTGTAACAGTATGGATCACCCAAACATGGCTGGAGAAGACAAAGTCACCAGCTAACCAGCCCCACCACAAATTCACACTCTCCAACTCAGACAGGTGCTCATTGCCATTTAAATACCCTAGGAATTGTCTGAGCCAGATTCCTGATGTCCTTGCCCAATTTCAGGAATCATTCCACTGCTTGCAAGCTTCTCCCTTTCTCACTTTCTGTCAGTTGATGATGTCTTCATCATTGAAAAGTTGAAGACCATATAGAAGGAATTCTTCATGTCCTCTCTTGACTTCAAGATTTCTCTGTTCCCTCACAAGTTCACTCTTCCTTCTTGCTATAGTCTGAATGTTTGTGTCTCCCCCGAATTCACATGTTGGAATCCTAAAGCGCCGTGTGATGGTATTAGAAGGTGGGACTTTTTGGAGGTGATTAGGTCATGTGGAGGGAGCTCTCATGAAGGGGATTAGTGCTCTTAAAAAAGCCCCCTTGCTCCTTCCACCATGTGAGGACACAGTGCTCACCACTGCATCTCACTGCAGAGCCTGGGGCACCTTGGACCCCCTACATGCTGCTTAAATTTAATTCTGTTGATCTCCAAAGAGTTCTTTCATGAAAGAAGGATGTTGAGCACCTCAACTGCCCAACTGGATTAAGATTTCCTTTTAGGCAGGCATAATTAACTCTTTCTTTTAAAATTTCATTTCATAACTCTTCTGGCTAAAATTCTTTTCAATGGCTTCCCATTGCTCCTAATGTGGAATTCCACCCACTTAAGGAACCCATCAGCCCTGTGGGACATGATCCCTGCTGACTGCTCCCATTTCATCTTTTGCCACTGAACCCCAAACCCACCTCACATGCCCTAGACATATTGGGTTCTTTTTAGTTCCTCGAAGAGCCAAGCTCTTTCCAACTTCAGGACTTTTGGCTTAATATTCCTTCACCTTAAATATTGTCTCTTTGAAGAAATGTTCCCAGAATACTCATTTCCAGGCAGCATCCTTGTTCTTTTTAATCCTCCCTTAGTACCTGTCTTTTCTTGAAAAGCATTATCACAATTTGCCTTTCTATAGCTGTTTGATCACCACATATTCACTCCCTGATCTCTCACACTAAGTTAGGAGCAGGAAAGGACCCTTTCTGTTTGGTTCAATCATCACCCAGTATAATCCTGCCTCCATCGGATGCTTAGTAAACATTTGTGAACGAATGAATTAATCTTTCACAGCAGTTAGTATAGTTGGCAACTGTCGAGGCTTAATAAACAGTGTCCAATTGGACCTTTTTCAGTCCTAAGATAATCTTCTTAAGCCCGATCACCATTGATTGTCACAAAATAACCAACAAAAAATAAACAGCAGCCCTATCGCCTGGTAGTCAGCACAACAATAATAAACACCTGCTAAACCAGCAAACCCATTTAGTGAACTCATCCTGAAGTTACTTGAGGCAGATACAAAAAAAAAGGCAATAGCAGCAGTATTCACAAAAACCAACAGGTGGAAACAACCCAACCGCCCATCAATGAATGAACGCATAAACAAAATGTGGCATAGCCATACAACGGAAGAGTATTCAGTCATAAAAACGCTTAAAGTACTGATGCATAATACCATGTGAACGAACCTTGAAAACATTCTATTAAGTAACAGAAGCCAGACACGAAAGGTCAGATATGGTAGGATTTTTGTGAAATATCTCCAATGAGCAAATCCATGCAGACAGAAAGTAGATTGGTGGTTACCAAAGACTGGAGGGAGGGAGGAATGGGGAGTGTCTCCTTAATGGGTATAGAGTTTCCTTTAGAGATGATGAAAACCTTCTGGAACTAGATAATGGTGATGGTTGCATTAAATTGTGAATATACTTAATGCCACTGAATTGTATATATTAAAATAGCAAATTTTATGTTACATATGTATTTTGTTGTTAGTGTCCTCAAGTCGATTCCTACTCCTAGTGCCCCTGTGCCCAGCAGAGCGGAACCCTGCCCAGTCTTTTTGCACCATCCTCTCACCTTCCAGCATAGCAGACAATGCTCTGCTGCTGTTCATAGGGTTTTCATGGCCAATCTTTTTGGAAGTGGGTGGCCAGGTGCTTCTTCCCAGTCTGTCTAGTCTGGAAGCTCCACTGAAACCTGTCCACTATGGGTGACAACCCTGCTGGTATTTGAAATACCAGTGGTATAGTTTTCAGTATCACAGCAACATGCAGCCACCACAGTATGACAACCAACCAATGGGTGGCGTGGTTCCCTGACCAGGAAACAAACCTGGGCCACGGTGGTGAGAGTGCCAAATGTTAACCACTAGACCACCAGGGCTGCAATATATATATTTTACCACAATAAAAAAGGAGAGAAAGACATTAGAAAATGTTAGAATGTACATTATTCTTAAAAATCTACAAACCTAACTCCAAATGAACTACCAGGTAGCAAAGTAGTAAACGGTCACTTTTAGTTCCAATAAATACTTCACACTTCAAACCAACAAACTTCTGTACAAATACTGGTTTTCCAGGGCGTTGGCGAGTGGGAGAAAGAGGCTCAACCACCTTGTAGCTACAAAATGTTCTAGAGATTTGCTGCTCCCAGGCTTCTAAAGAGTTCTGTGGAACAAACCTTCCCAAATGTGTGTATATATATATATATGTGTGTGTGTGTGTGTGTGTGGTCTTGTGGTATGCATGATTGTTTTAGGTGCACAAATGAACACTGTTTAATTTTAATAATTATTTTTGTTTAGGGTTATCATTGATTAGTAGCCAATAAGACTAGTTTTCATTGATGGTGGCAGTGAAATATTTCTTTTTTGTTTGTTTGCTTGTTTTTAATCCAATTAATGCATTCACATGCAATCAAATGTACTTTTCCTGGTGCATAGGGTCACGTAAATACCACCATCAAAATACAGAACAGTACCACTATCCTATAAAATCCTCTCGTGCTGCCCCTTTGCAGTCCAGGCCACCCTCACATGACGGTTCAGCAATAAAAAGGAAGACTCTAAAGACACACGGAACAACATGAATGACTCTCTAATGCATCAGGCTAAGTTAGAGAGGGCTGGGGCCAGAAGGCAGAGTGGCTGCAAACGGGCACAAGATTTGTCTCGGGGGGTGATGTAAATATTCCAAAATTAGACTGTGGCAAGCGTTGCTTAACTCTGTAAATACACGAAAAGTCAGTGAATTGTACACCTAAAATGGGTGAATTTTATGGCATGCAAATTACATCTATATAAAGCTGTTAAACACAGAAAGGTTACAGAGTGTATGATTCCATTGAGATGACACGTTCCAGAAAAGGCAAAACTATAGGAACAGAAAATAGATGAAAGTTTCCTTTTACAAATACATGTAGCGAATGAAAAATGTATGAATTTCAATAAGTAACAGGAGAGGATGCATGTAGATGAGGCAAACTTTGCAGAGCTGGGATGACAAGGATGGGTTCAGGGACTACTTTGCGGGCAGGAGTCCCCGGTTGGCACCCCGCTGTGATTCCTGGAATTCTGGCCCCTCCCCCGCCCCCCCCAAGGCCTGCGCCCACTTACTGTGGCTGTGCCCGAGACGGTCTGCGCGCTCGTGTCCGCTGCGCTCTGCTCCGAGTGCGACTGGGCGGGAGGGTACAGGTTTAATGTGTGCTCGGGGACGGTGGTCTGGCCCGTGTATTCTGGCGCGGGGTGGGGATGAGGGGCCGTGTATTCCGCGGGGATGCCGTTCTGAGGGGGAGCGAACTGGGCCGAAGCATAAGGCTGAGCCATTGTGTCAGGGGCAGCTGCTGCTTCCTGATTACCCTGAAAAACCAGAAAGGAGGAGAGAGGGAGAGAAAAGTGTGAGCCAGCACCAAGCAGAACTTTTCCCCCAGGCCCAGGGACGACTGCTCTCCAGACACTTCTAGGTGCCAGCACTGCACCAAGAGCCTGAGATGCATGCATCCCAGTTCATTGTCACCAGACTCGATAAGGAAAGAGTAACCATCATTTATATAACCCCATTGTACAGATGCAGAAATTGAGGTTCAGAGAAGTGAAGTCACTTTCTCCAAGTCATCCAGCCCAATAGCCAAAGACTGTGAGGGTCTGTGCTCTACTGGATTGGATTTTTCTGGCAGACCCTCCTTATTTCATTCCCATTTCGGAACTTGTGAGCGTGTAGTTGTCTCCAGTGACAGCAGAGCCTTGCTTTGCTACTTAAAATGCCAAAAGAAATTAAATTGAACGTGTGTGTTCTTGAGGGGAGAGACAATTCATCTAAGCATTTGAATTTAATCAAAGTTTTATGTGACTTGGCTCACATAACGGGATGGGGGGGGGTCCTTTTAATGGTCAGAATGTGTGTGTGTGTGTGCGTTTGTGATGTTCCCAGCGGCAATATGAAGCACTCAATGAAAACTCAAGGCCTAATTTGGACAAAGATGGCACTCTGTGACAGCCCCATTTTAAGTACCTCTGCAAAATGCCAGACTTAACACAGCCCCATTAGTCAATGCCTCTCCCACCCCCTGCCTTAGTTTGTATCAGTACAGGGTATTACATAACAATTGCCCTTCCGAGCCAGGCAAAACATGCAGTGTGATCATTACAGTCAAGTCAAAAGAATTTAAAAAAATCCACGAATTCAAATGCTTCCATTTCAGGAAACATCTATTTCTCTCCACCCTGACCCCCACCCCCATAACTCTACTACCCTACACACACACACACACACACACACACACACACAGACACAAGTGCACAAGGCATCAGAAGCTGTAACCCAGAGGTCCGAATTTTCCATGGTCTCAAGAGATGGGATTGCACAGTCAGAAAGAGAGAGAGAGAGAAAAAAAAAAAAGCTTAGCAATTAAGCACACGGAATAGCTGCCTCTCCCATTGTCTGTGGTCAGTTAGATGTGACTTCAGCCCTCATATAATGATTCCAGGGCAAAAATGTCAGAGTTCCTCAAATCTCTTCTGTGCCCACTACCAACATTAGAAAAAGCCTCTTCAGCTAGAGCAACTTGGGTGCAGCAAAAAACATTATGACATGGAGGGGAGAAAGAAGTTTATTCTCAGCGCAGCGCACAGCGCGGGTGCATTTGTTTAGAAAGGACCTTAATTAGAATGTTAAAGATGACACTTGGAAGAGAACTAAGCTTAGGATAAGTTTAAAACATTTTACAAGTGAAAACATTCCCATCAGGCCTTTTCCTCCCCCAGACTAATTTCTCCAAATGTCTGTACCATTGGAAGCAGAAACGCACAGCCATTTCTTTCCTTTGAACATGTTTTCACAGCATTTGGGGCTGTGCAGGGTCTGTCTGTGCTGTGGTTGGATCACTGGACATGGAAAGTTAACCCTGTCCACCCTTGGGAAACCACAGAGGACATTTGTCATGGTCACTCAGGGCTCATTTCTCTTTCTTCAAGGATAACACCCAGTTTCCTTTTAGGGGACACTTCCACTCTCGGCCCATGTGCTACAGATGTGGCTGAACCCGGCCTCTGGTTACGGCTAGATACAGTCACATGACCCAGCCTGGCTAATCAGAGGTTCCACTCTCGTATCACAGGGAAGTATTGGGTTCATGCCCATCTATCTAAGCCAGTTAGGGAGTTAAGCCCTAGTAACTCCAGTGAGGCTTAATCCTAGGACTTTGCTGGAGTTTTAGGAGGAACTTCTCTCTCCACTGTGATTGGCAGCTGTAAAAATAACGTAAGCTGCCAAGAACTGCCTCTTGAAGAGGGCCTGCCTAGAGCAGAAGCCAACCCAGAGGAAAACAGAGCCCAGAAATTGAGAAACAAACATCAACTGGGTCCCGCTGACATCGTTTGAAGTCTTGGATCCAGCTTTACCTGCAGTTAGTAATGCCACTGTTTGTTTTAGTTACATGAGTCAGAAAATGTCTTATTTTATTTTAGCTAGTTTTTCTGTGACTTACAACCAAAAGGGTCTTTACTAATAATAATAAAAAAAAAATCCTCTGCTGTTTCTGAGTCAACTGACATCCTTCTCTTTTACAGGGTTGCCCAAGGAACATATCCTTGTGTAAACGAGTGCCATACAGATGCCACCTCATTCTGGCTGATGAGAAGCCCTAGAAACTTCGGGACCTTGAGAGGCCTCCAAAGAGAAATTCATGGTGCCACATTCTACTTCTGCTCAAAGGTCTGTCTCAGCCTCTCTTTCCTTCTACCTAGCTCGTCTCTGAATTGAAAGACAGACTTGTGATAACTCCAGGGGTACCTCATTAGGAAAGCATGAAATGATTGCAGGAGCAATGGCAGAGAGAGGTGGTCACAAAAGACAAAGATGTCCCTCCTCCACCTCCAGCAGAAAACACTGTCATGGGAACACATATGACCACATGGTCTTTCCTTGCTGCAGAGCAATCTCAGGAAGAGTGGCCCAATCCCACGAGATCCCACAAACAGCAAGGGCTCTCTGCTAGGATCTGAGCTCCCTCTGTATTAGAGAGAGAAGGGCCTGCCCTGAGAAAGCCTGTGGTCCCTCCATTCTCTCAACACCACCACGTCTTCCCATTCACTGCCCTTCTGCTTAGCCCTCCCCTACTCCTTTGCCTGGCTAGTCTCTACTTCTCTTTCACGTCCCAGATCAAGAGCTCCTCCTCCAGCAAGTCTTCTTTGACAGTTAAACCACGTTAGTTGCCTGCCCTCTATGCTCCAATGCGGCTTGTGGTCACATCTCACATAACTCCAAGCACCACCATTGCCTGCTTAATCATGAGCATCCTGAAGGCAGGAGACCATGCCACATTCTCTGTTTCATCTCCAGGGTCCAACAGCGTGCTAGCTGCAAAGGAGGCATTTCCAAGTGATTGCTAAGTGAATGCATGCCTGAATAAGAAATTCTGGGCTCTGTAAAGCTTAATCTGGCAACAGGAGACAGGATGGGGGGAGTAGGAAAGGGGTTGGTGGATGACCCATGGCAAAAATCTGCCCCACTGCTTGTTTTTGTAAATAAAGTTTTATTGAGACACAACCGTGCTCATTGTGCTATGATGGCAGAGTTGAGAAGTTATGACAGACTGCATGGCCCACAAAGCCTAAATGATTTAACTCTCTGGCCCTTTGCAGAAAAGTTTTCCCATCACTGTGGCAGAGTTATCATTAAATATGAGGACACCGATTAAGAAGTTGCATAAACAGTATGGGCAGGAAATAAAGCTGGCAGTAAAACAGGAAGAAAGAGAAAGGAGGTGCATTATACCTATCAAGGAGGAATGGTTCACCTAGGCTTGGAGATCGGCAAAGTTAAGAATTGTGCAAATAGGGCATGTTAGAATCTTTTTCCAAATTTGCTTTCCATCACCAGATCTCTGAATTCTAAACACACATGTACACATACAGGATTTAAACTCGGTAGCAGTGGGCTTAGACGATCCCAGATGGCTTCAAGCTTCTGAGCTCCATAGGAAAGGCATCCTCTTCTTCTCATTGGTGCTCAGAAGACAAACTGAGTGATGCTGCCCCTCACCTCAGGCCTAGTGGGTACCACACTCTGTGCTGGGTGCTTTGTATCAATAGCTCTCCAGCAGAGGGGTACTGCTCCCCAGGAAACATTAGTCAATGACAGGAGACATTTTTGTTTGTCACAACTGGGGAGGAAGTGTTGCTACTGGCATCCAGTGGGTGGTGGCCAGGTCACGTTGCTAAACACCCTACAATGCACACGACAGCCCCCCACCGCAAAGGATTATCTGGAGAGGCCTAGGATCTCTGCTTTGCATGCATTGCAACTCTAATTCCCCTTTATTTCATTGTGAAGGATACCACAACCCAGAACTGAGAAATCATTTTATAAGGTCTCAGCCACAGGTGCCTCTTAGGGAAGCCAGGAGCTGAACCAAACCATGTTTGCCCCGTGCCAAGGTGTCTCTCACCTGGCCAGACAATCACCTGGTGGGGAGATTCATTCCCAATTTGGAAAAAAAAAAAAAAAAACCTCTCTCTGTCACATATACTGTGACCCCCAAGACCTGTTTTCCACCTGGCGGTTTGTTACACCCTGTGGGGAAGTCGGGTGCTGGGGTATTTGATTCAAAGATGCCAGCGTTCCGTTGGCCAGATTAGGGGGGTGACCCTTGGTGAGTTAGAGAAGCAGCCTGAGAAACTTCTGCCAGCTCAAGCCCGAAGCCTGGCTTCCGAAGGCTCTGTGCATACCCTAGGACAAGCGGGGCCCACGGGGAGCACCACTGGAGCCAGGAGAAACCACCAGGCTCTACATGAGCGTGTGCCATTCCGGCACGCCCAGGGCTCTGAGCTCCAGGGACAGTGTCCATGTCGCCAAGGAACCCACAGGTGGCACTGACGTCCATGAGGCTCTGGATTGCACTCCTGTTCCTGGAGTTCTCAAACAGATGTTGGTAGGACCCCCCACAGCTACTTATTAACACTGACAGCCGTTCCAGAGAGACCCTAATTAATATTCCCAACATTTGCACTTTGGGCTAATTACAGCTAATATTTAATTAAGATCACTGTACTTCCCATGGAATTATTTTTCACCTCCAAATGGCTTCAGAGATGTCTTTCCTTCCTCCCAAGTGACGTTCCTGGGTTCTCAGCTAAGCTGAACTGTATTTTCTGGAAAAATACATTCACATTAAGGGCACCTTCCCCACTCCAGGTCAAGGCAAATCCTGGGCACGTGAACAGGCTCCTGGTTGAAACCTGAAGCCAGCTTCATGTAGGTGATGGTGACAGGCAAAAATTATTCGGAGCGTTCTGGCTAGACATTCCCTCATTTGCAGAAGCTGCCTTCTTTCTTCTACTCCAATGCCAAACCTCCACCT